TTTGCCAGGTTGTGGCAGGAGCCCCTCACTCGGACCCCCGTCTGTCCATCCAAGTGAATTGCTACCGCTGCCAGCAGTCATGTGCAGTGTAAAAGCGAGGCAGCCCCAGGAGGGAGGCAGCTGGCTCTGTGCGCCTTGTTCCACTCCTGTGCCAATCCGCAGTATAAAAAAGGTTTGGAACCACTGCTTTAGATGACTACCCACATGCAAAACAAAGTTTAATGCACTTAAATCTCTTTTTGTCTTCTTTGTGTAAAATATTCCCTTACCTTAATAGCAGTTGCCCCAAGTTAATTAATGCAAAACAAAGTATGCTCAATGGAGAAAACACTAAGTAGTAGCATTTAAAAGACACGATATTCTGCTATTTAGCCAGTACTGACTCAGCCTTCAATTACACAAGGTTTGATCCTGCTGGATGCCAGGCACCCTCTACTCCTTTCTGTGGAATAGGTGTGTACAGTGAGGAACAGGAATGATTCCCTTCTGTATCATTTTTGATGGCTTAGCCGAGTGACAGGTGAAAGGCTAAATTCAGGTCTGGTTCAAACAGATGCAGTTCTGCTGAGTTCTCCTGCATAAGGGCTGAACTTTGATGCGAAGATAAATTGCCATTCCATTCCCCACCTGATGTTTTCAAGCCAAAATATTCATAAGTGTAGGCATTGTTGTTGTTTTTCTTTTCTTAGGATTCATTTTAGTAGCATCAGTTTCCCTTGAGTATCATTAAAACTTTGTTTGTAAATAACAGTAATAAAATGAGATGGATTTTTAACAGTAAATAGTCATCAACTAAAAACCAACCTGTGCAGGCCAGGAGACATCCGGGCCCTTTTTCGTGCTGCACGCGGGCTGTGGCCAGCAGCCCGGGTACGCGGGATCGGAGAGGACGGGCGGCGAGCTGGAGTTAGGCACGTACGCTTAGTGGTAGATTTAAAGATGGTTTACTTACACCGATGATGGTTGCGGTGCAGGCTGGAAAACTTGCTTGAGTTGCGGTTACAAACAGAACGACACGAACGATCACGTGGAGTTTGCTAGGCTCCACGGAAACAGAACTCCGGATGTCCTGGACAAGCGCGCCACCGAAATAGAACAATCGTAGATACGTCTTATAAAGGTTATCGATCGAAGACGGGAAGAGGTGGGCGGTGGATCAGGTTGCCAAACTTCTCTGAATCTCACACAGGGTTTCTATCACCCTGCCGTGTACCCAGAGTCCCCACGAGATGGATGTGGAGTCCTCTTCAGCTTGGGCGGAAACCGCTCAAGCCTCTTATACGGCTAGCAGGCCAATCGCTA